AAAAAAAAAAAAAAGAATAAAAACTTCAGCTCCCTCTAGAGCCTTTTCTTTCCTAACCTCCACTTCCGGTCCCTTAGCAACCTTAAAGTTATTCCAAATGTGACTTCTCAATATCCACTGGTTCCACCCTACTCCAAGCCACCATCATCTCTTACCTGACAATGGCCTCCTAAGCGACCTGCCTGCTCTTATGCCTCTTATGCCTGAAAAGGCCACTCTCTAAAGAGAAACAGCCCTTCCTTTCCTAAACATCTTCCCAGATAAGATGGCTTCCCACTACATTTAGAATGAAATCCAAGCTTCTACAAGACCCTACACAATCCATTTCTTGCACTACTCTTGATGTTCAGTCACAAAGGCCTCCTTTCTGCTGCTCAAACCATTTGCAGCCTGCCCCAGGGCATTTATGTGCACTGGTATTTCTCTCCGCTGGAATAATCTCCCCCTCGTCACCCGAGAGCCAGCTCCTTCTCAATCACTGAGGTCTCAGCTCAATGACACCTCCTCAGAAAGGCCTTCCTTAGCACCCTGTCTCACCTCCTCTCCAGTCCTCGAGTGACACTATCACAACAGTCTTGGTTCCTTCATAACATTTACTAGCAGCTGAAATTAACCTTTCTCTAGCTCCTGCGCTAGAAAGTAAGGCTATGAGCAGATGCCAATACTGCAAACTCCCCAGAGCCGAGAAGAGTTCCTGGCACATAGTAGGTCCTCAAGAAATACTTCTTGAAAAGATGCATAACAACAGGTAACCTTCACTGAGCTCCTATAGTGTGCCGACTGGTTTATTTAGTACCCACAGCAACCCCGTAAGGAGGGTGTTATTTTTTCATCATTTCACAGAGAAGGAAAATGAAGCACGTTGAGGTTAAGCCATTTGCCCGAGGTCTCACAGCTACAGGGGGCAGGGCTAGGATGAGAACCAGGCTCGAGACCCCAGCACCCGAGGGCAGGGTGGGTCGCGGCCCCTCTGCCGGCTCGCTGGCCGAGCAGCTCCGCATCCCGCCAGTCTGGGCAGCCTGGAGACGAGGCAAGAGCCCCAGCTGGAGGGATGAGCGCCCCAGGGCTCGGGTCTGTCCGATCACCTCCGCTGTGTCCGAAGCAGCGGGTGCCTGCCCCCCTCCCAGCCTCACTCTCCCCCAGGAACCGATACCTGCACCGGCGTCATGTACGGGAAGCCCAGCTCCCGCAGCGCGCCCAGCACCCGCGGGTGCAGTGACACTGGCAGAGACTCCCAGGAGCCCTCCGTCACATGCTCCATGGCGCTCTCCTTTGCCGCCTCGGTCGCCGCTGCTCGAAGGCGCCCTGTGCACCCCCAACGAACACTTCCGCTTCCGGCAGCTCCGGCGGCCGGCCGGGAACTTTGCTGGAGCAGCAGAGTTCCGGAGCGCTG